ATAAAGTTTTTTTAATTATATTTTTTTATTACTATTTTAGATCCCTAAAATAATTATTTTTTTTATAGTGTACCCATTCTTCAAAAAATATTATTTTATCTTTTTTTTTTTACCCCAATAAGTGAAGGGGGTTTTTTTATTTTTAAGGTTTTCCCATAATTTTTTTTTTTTTGTTTTTTTTTTTTTTTTCATTTTTCTTAAAACACAAAATAGTAAAAGTAATATAAAAATATAATAATATTATAATAAAATCTCATTTTATATTAAAATATTAAAAATTAAATATAAAAAAAAAATTTCTATCAGTTAAATTTTAAATAAAATTGATTATTATTCATTATTTATTTTTAAATAAAATATAGAGACTAATATAACATTAATAATATAATAAAATAAAATTAATAAAAATTAAATAATATTTATAAATAATAAAACAACAAAATAATAGATTTAAAAAAATCAAAATAATCAATTTTTATATATTTATTTAATATTTTAATTTTTTTATTTTAATATAAATAATATCACAATTATAATAATAAAATAAACAATATTTCGATCAAATAACAATCACTATCATATAGGAATAGAAATTTAAACAAAATTATAATAATAGTATTATTATTATTATTTCTATAAAAATGATATATAAAAGTACCTATTATAATAAAATTTATAATAGTTTTTTTAAAATGAATAAAATTAAAATAATGTTGGCCGTGTTAATAGTGTCTGTAATAATAATGATAATATTTCAAATAGCAATACCTTCAACTACCTCTAAAAAGTTAAAGTTAGACTTACATATAAAACAACAGCAACAACAATCCAATAATAATAATAATAATAATAATAATAATAATAATAATAATAATAATAATAAACATTTAAATAATATAAATACCAATATAGAGTATAGTTTTGAAGATTTTGATGAATCATTAAAAGAATATATCAAACAGAATAATAATAGTTTTATAAATAAAGATTTAAAAAAGAGACCTAAAAAAGATTTTTATGAAGGATTGTATGCAACTTTTAAAAAAGAAGCATTTTTTAGTAAAGCTAATGGAATCACCAACATGGTTACTGGTCAACTCTACAGAAATTATTTCGTATCGATTGTTACTCAAACAACTGTAGATCGTTTACACAAAGTATCAATGATGGCCGAGAAATGGAAAGCTCCAATGTCAGTTTCAGTTTTTATAAAGAAACCTTCAAAAGACATACCAGAATTAAAAAAGAAATTACAAAACTACCCATCTCTAGTTTATTATGCAGATCTTCATTTACTTTTTGCAAATAACACAAGATACCCTGTAAACAATTTACGTAATTTAGCAATTGAAAACAGTCGTACCGATTTTGTATTTATAATGGATGCAGATTTTTTACCTCCTCTAGGTTTACATGACTATATACAAAATCAAAAACATTTTTTTAAAATTAATCAATCGAACCAAATTAATTTTAAAAATAACTTATTAAATGGAATTTCAAACCAACAAACCCAAGTAAAAGAAAATAGCAACATTGAACAGAAAGATAGCAGTGCAAATAAAATTATACATACTCAGTCATTTAGAAAAAATAATTTAAATAAAATAGACTCTAGTGGCCAAATAGATAGCTCATTCAATATGGATAGTTATCATGGAAGTGCCAGTATAAATAGTTTAACAGAAGATAATTCGAATGATATTCCAAATTTAAAGATTGCCTTTGTAATACCATCATTTTCAAGTTCAGAACTACCAGAATTTTTACCAGATGACAAAGAAGAAATGATAGAAATGGTAAAGAGTAATAAAGTAACACCATCAAGTAAGTAAAAATTTTTATTTAACTTTACACTATGAATCTATCTAATTATTTATATACTATTTTAGATATAAATGTTTGCAAAAAATGCCATTCTCCAACCAATTTTCCAAAATGGATAGAAGCAAAAGAACCATACGAAATTGAATATAAATGGATTTTTGAACCTTATTTAGTATTTAATAGATCAGAGAGTTTACCATTCGATGAAAGATTAAAAGGTTATGGATTCGATAAAAATTCACATGCATTTAGTATGGCCGTAGAAGGATTCCGTTTTGTAGTTTTACCAGAATCTTTTATAATTCATGTAAATCATAAATCATCATCATGGGAAGGTCCATCATTAGATGAACAACAATGGGATGCCCTTCGTATAGTTTGTGATATAATACCATCAATTAAAACCAAAAATAATTATAATATAAGTGAAAAGTTATTTGATGAACCTTTAGAAGATGAATGTTATTCAGATAATCATTGGTAAAAAAAATAAAAGAAAATTAAAAAAAAATAAACAAATTATAAAACAAGAAAATTATTTCAAATAATATTATTTTGAATTAAAATAATAACACTACAAAATAAATTATAACCTTTAACGATCAATAACTATTGTTATCTTTTTTTTTAATCATTATAATATTCTGCTATTTTATCATTTATTTATTTTTTTTAATTTTTTTTTTTAATTTTTTTTTTAATTTTTTTAATTTATTTTTTTTATTTTTTCATTTTCATTAAATTTAATTTTTATCTAAAATATGAAGCTTCATTGTCTAAGCTTATCAAACCAAGCACCATGTTATTTGTTAGAATATAAAAATGTTAAAATATTACTAGATTGTGCAATTGAAATTTCAACAATATTAAATTTCCTACCAAAAAACTTAAACTATAACAATAATAATAACAATAGTGATAGTGGAAAAGAAAAGGATCAAGAATTTAATCAATGTTACAAAAATATAAATGGGGTATTATATGTTGACAATGGATGTAGCAATATCAAATATAGTTGTCCAATATTTGAAATGATTGATGATTTTTCAACAATCGATGTCATTCTTTTAACAAACTATACAAATATATACTCATTACCATTTATTACAGAATATACAAATTTTCAAGGTAAAATATTTGCAACTGAACCAACTGTACAAATTGGAAAGTAAATAGTATAGCATATTTAATTTAAAAGAAAAAAAAGAAAAAAATTTATTAATTTATTTTTATTTATAATTGAAATAGATTACTTTTAGAAGAACTAGTTCAAATGGATAAACAGTATTCAAATCACAACTACAATATAAATAATAATAATAATTTATTTGATAAATGGCAAAACAGAGAAATGCTGACAAAGATAAATATAGCAAATTACGGTAATGAAAATGAAATAATGTATAAAGATAGCTACAGATGGAAAGATTTATATAAGAAATTAGATATTGAGAAGTCATTTGAAAAAATACAAACAGTTAGATTCAATGAATCAATTTATTTTTATGGTTTTGAATGTTCAGCTGTTAGCAGTGGATTTTGTTTAGGTTCTTGTAATTGGGTTATAGAGGCAAAGGGATTCGAAAGAATGGTGTACATGTCTGATACCTCTTTATCAGTGTCAAGATATCCGACAGTTTTCCAAATGGAACCATTAGAGAAACCAGACATATTAATCCTTAGTAAACTAAACAACCACCCAATCAATTTGCCCGATGAAATGTTTACAGAATTATCCCTTTCCATTGGAAGCACATTGCAATCAGGCGGTAATGTAATTATACCCAGCTACTCATGTGGAATAATTTTGGATCTTTTAGAGCACCTAGCAGAGTATTTAAATCAAATGAATTTAGCATCTACCCAAATATACTTTATCTCTTCAGTTAGTAAAGCAGTTTTATCGTATGCCGATATCTATGCAGAATGGTTAAATAAAAACAAACAAGAGAGATCATTCATGCCAGAAACACCTTTTCTTCATCAAGATCTAATGAAAAAGGGCCAATTAGCAGCATTTCAACATATACATAGTCATTTTCAAACTAGCGAACCCTGTATCATCTTTGCAGGTCACCCAAGCTGCAGGTTCGGTGATGTAACAACCCTTATCAAACAATATGGCGATAATCCAAAAAACACTGTATTCCTAATCGAGCCTGATTTCGATTTTAAAACTTTAGTACTTCCATTCTCAAAATTAACTTGTAAATTCCAATCTATACCAATCGACCCAAGAATTAATTTTAAAGATGCAAATTTTTTAATTTCAAAATTAGCACCAAAACATTTAATTATACCAAATAATTTTAAAAGTAAGTTATTAATAAATTCATACATACATACAAAGCAAATATTAATGATAATACTAATCACGATTATTTCTATTTAGATTTTATTGTAAATAAACATTCAAATGGTATTAATGGTTTAATAACACCAATTTTACCATTAGACCTCATCAAAATTAAAAATCATCAAAAATATGAAAATGGATTTTTAGATAAGGAATTGGCACAATCAATTCAAACTAAAATTATTGAAAAACCTCAAACCTCTTTAAATAGACTAAACCAAATCAAACAACAGATTCAGCAATACCAACAGCAGCAGCAACCCCAACTTCTATCACTCTCACAACCATTATCCCAATTCCAACAGCAACAGCAACTACAAAACCAACAACAACAAAACCAACTTATACATGTTGCAGAGGTTACAGGTATTCTATCAATCCACGACCATGAATTGGTAATTTCACCCGCCAACCTCTCTGATATTTCAAAGCTATCTTTTATAAAGGAAAAATACCTATGGGGAACTCTATCAAATGAAACAATCATAAATCTAATAACCTCAAAGGGATTTATAATTGAAAATATAAGAATAGAGAATGACCAGTATGAAATTAAAATCAATGGAAATAGCAACTCTGCCCTCATCACCACAAATAACCCCGCCACAATTTATCTATCCTCAAATAATGTAAATATAGAAACCAATTGTGAAATTACCAGAAAGCAAATCTCTGATATTATAGTTAACAATTGTAATGGTTTATACATTAATTAATAAATTATTTTTTAATTATGTGGATCTTAAAATCCTATTTTAGTTATTGTTTTTTTTTTTTTTTGTTTTTTATTTTTTTTTATTTTATTTTTTTATTTCTTTTTTTTTATATTTTAATTTTATATTTTTATAGTTTTATAAATAATTTTATATATTTATTAAATGCACAACCCACATTCACAACCAAAGACCTCTTTGTCAGTTGCTCAACAAATTCAAACATTTAATATTGATTTTGAAATAATTAATAATGGTTTAAAAAAATATTTATTAAATTTTCATACTGATAATGATTTTCAAAACAACCTCAAAAAAATCTCATTTATTAATTCATCTATACTGGAAAGTTTATTATATAAGAATCAGTCTTATTTAAATATGGTAACCAATTTCACATACGAATGCAGCGATAATTACAAGTCAATGGAAAACTACACGGTCAAGAATTTCAAAGGAAGAGAATTTGATTTCAGTGTCGCATATCTAGATGTTCTTTCATTAAAACTAGGAAATATTTATGATTTAGCAAATCAAGTAGAAGAAAGAATAAAAAAAATGTTGGGTTATTTTAATTCCATTATTACAGAAATTGAAAATTTAGAATTGGTTGAAAACACTGAAAAAATAAAAGAAATTAGAAAATTTAAATTATTTTTGAACAACTATAAACTTTTTTTGAAATTAATTGGGGTATTTTCATATGACATCAAGAGAAAATGCAGAAATAGATTCCAAAACTATAACGAAATAATCATTTCAATTTTAAAGAGTATAAAAGAAAAATCAGAAATAATCATTTATCTAGTAGAAAAATTGAAATTCATCATCAAATTACCATCGGAGACCAATAAACCCCCACTTACAATAAAAAATAGTGTTAATAAAAAATATTCTATGATTAGTTTAAAATTTCAAAGTTAATATTTTTTTTTTTTTTTTCATTTTTTTCATTTCATTATTAAATCAATTGGAAAAAAGAATTTGGTATTTGTCAAAATAGATAAAGATTATCATTTGCAAGACAAAAACAAAATTAAAATTTTCAGAAAATGATATAATTTCAAAACAAATAATAACATAAAAATAAAAATTAAACCCCACAAACTCTTTTTTAATCTTTAATTTTTTAAATCCAAATTTTTTTTTCATTTTATTAACAAATAAAATCTTAAAATTCATTCTGAATTATGATGGAATTAAGATATTATTAAAAGAATTTTCGAAATAAAAGTAATTAAATTAAAAACATTAAAAAATAAAAAACAAAAAAATAAAAAAAAAAATAAAAAAAAAAATAAAAAAAAATAAAAATTTTTAAAAAAAAAAAAGAAATATTTTTTTTATTTTTAAAATTTTTTCACCTTACACGAAGTTTTAAATTTTATTTATAAATATTATAATAATCGATTTTAATTATAGTATTTTGCCACACAAACAAGAAATAAAAAATATAAACAATAAACAATAAAATAAATAAATAAATAAACAAATAAAAGATGGCACAAGACGAAAAAAGTGAATTATAGCAAATC